CCTAGATCTCAGGAGGCTGAGGCCAGAGGATCACTTGAACCCAGGAGTTTAAGGCCAAAGTGAGCTATGATTGTGTCACTGCACTCCAGCCTGTCTCAAAAGAAAAGAAAAGAAAAAAAGAAGCCAAAATGATGTGACTGGGCAGGAAGTTTAAAATTAGTTTTTCACAAAGCTTAAAGGTTAAATAAAGGAAAGAATGGGTACAGAATAGAATGGAAAGTGAAAATTTTTTTTAAGAAACATAGAGGAAATCAGCTTGACTGAAGGCAAAAGAGGAGTTATTGGAAATGAAGAGGTAGTTAGCTGTAACCTGTATTCATTCATTCATTTGCTTATTCAATGCATATGTTGCATACCAACTTGATACCAGACACAAGGCAAGGAACTGGAAGTATAGCAGTGAATGAGACAAATTAATTTCTGCTCCTGTGGTATATTCTCCTAGTTGCTCTTTTTTACCCTTTCCCTTTTCCCTCCGCTCTCCCTTAAGACCTGCCTTCCTTTTAGTAATAATTCTGTTTAGTAATAATTCTGCAGGCACAAATACTAAAACAAAGTTATTAGCATCTATAATATCCAGTGTTCTTTCTTGATGTGTGTTGTTTTCTGTACTAAATTTGTTTCTGCTTTTTAAAGGTTATAATGAATGAACTCTTCAAATGAGACAAAACCTTATAAGACCTACATAGGTCTTGATTTGGTTTCCAATAAAAAGTTGAAAACTCAGTAAATGAGAAGGTCCAAAATGGCAGTAACATTGAGGAATATGGTTCCTTTTCCCATTTGATGATGAGTATGTACTTTTGCTTCTTGTTAAGAAAATCCTTATTGACTAGCTCTAAGGACTTTAAGTATCAGATCCTTGATGACCTGTTTTAAATATAAAAACACTTCTAGGCCTATAATCCTAGCACTCTGGGATGCCAAGGCAGGAGGGTTTGCTTGAGACCCCTTCTCTACAAAAAAATATGAAAATTAGCTCATGCCTATAGTCCCAGCTACTTGGGAGGCTGAGACAGGAAGACTGCTTGAGCCCAGGAGTTTGAGGTTGCAGCGAGCAATGATGCCACTGCACTTTAGCCTGGGCAACAGAGCGAGACTGTCTCAAAAAAAAAAAAAAAAAATTCTTACAGTTTTGCATTACCCTGCCATCATGTTGGGCTCCTTAGTATAACAAAAAAGTAGCACTGATTGTGTCAAGAGAAATATTCATTATAATGTCAAGCTTTCCTTTGGAGATTACTCAGCCATGTGAAAATACAACATCATAGCTATAAGCTATAAGATACTGGTTTAAAGTCCTAGGACACATTCCATGTGAATTTAAGTTTAATTTAGCCAGTATTAATTGAGCAAGTTGAAAAGTAAGGAGGGCACCTTCTCTTCTGATTCTAGAAGGAAACATGAAAAGATTTGATTAGGGAAGGTATTTTGTGGTGGTGAAGCGTATAGATGACCCACTATTGACCCACTGGTCAATATGGCTTAGGAGTATGCATAGCCTAAAGGGTGCTAGCTAACAGACTTGGCATGGTGCAAGGCTAAGAGGGAATTCTACCTATGAATTTGTATTGGATGGTGGCTATTCTCAAAATGAGTTATAGTCTTTTATGGGAAGCAGCATTAGACATTTGAAATAATTGCAGAGAAAAAACTGGAGTATTGCAATGGTTGCCAAATTTAATTATGTATCAAAATCATGTAGGGAGCTTTTTAAAAAAAGAGACTCTTGAGCCCCATTTCAGAAGCTTCAGGGATGGACCAGGAATTTGTATATTTTTTTTATATATACAAACTTTCTACTGATTTTGATTTAGTTTGCTCTCAGAATTGCATTTAAGAAGCACTGGAATTCAGTAAAATAATAAATATGATAAAGCTTTAGAGCTCTATTATATATCTTAAATTTATTCATTTACTTAACAAACATATCCAAGCATCTAACATATGCTAGTTATCATGCTATTTTCTAGGGCTACAGAGATGAATAATACATAGTCCCTGCTCTTAAGCTCAGAGTCTAATAGGAGAGATATTGGTAGATAAATAAAACAGTGTGCTTAGCGAAATGATAGAGGTGTACAGGGTGTTTTGGAAGCAAATAGGAGTACCAAACCTGCTCTGGTTCATTTGGGGCCAGGAGGAAGGTAGGATCAGGAAGGCTTCACTGAAGTGGCTGAGCTTTTTTATAACAGATAACTTACTCCTTATAACACCTTGTGTTGTTTCTTTCATTGTTTTACTTAGAAATTTTGTAAAAAATATATTATTACCTTTCCTTGCCTTCTTACATATAATAGAACTCATGTAATTTAACTTTTTTATTGATGATTCAGCATGATTACATATTATCAGTCATTTATGCTATATAGCAAAATAGTGATTCCTTTTACTGCAATATACAGTATTAATTTACATTTGCTATGACTGTACTATTCTCCTGTTTCTGTCTTTTTATCTTTGTTGTCAGTCTGATAGTTATCTTCTTAATATCAGTGTGGCTATCAATAGAGTACCATTTTTACTTAAACTTTTCCTTGGCCAAGAGGATTTGGACCAAAAAATTGTGAATAAGTAAAAGTGTAAAGCATTTTGATGAATATAGTATATGAGTTTCCGTGCATTTTAAGACATCTGTTTTAACTACTGAGCTATCTTGGCTTTTTTTTTTATTATGTAAACGCCAGTAGATACTTTAGAAATCACATAATACAACTCCTTCATTTTATAAGCAAAGAAACTGAGGCTCAAAGATACTAAGGATGATTAGTGACAATCAAGGAGTATAATCTAGAGCTCCAGATACGAGAATAGTTCCATTCTATAAAATCAGCAGTTCTTAACTAGGGAGTTACAGCAGAATCATTTGAAGAATTGTTCAAAATACACATGCCTAGGATTTAATCCCAAAGGTCCTGATTCAGTAAGACTGGCATGTATATTTCTAAAAAAATTTTTTTTAATATTTGGAAGATTCTGATGCATACCCGTGAAGCACTATGCTTTAATCTGGTTGTCATATATCATAATTTATTTCTGAATAGTTATATAGTACTGGTAATAAATACTTAGAGAGCCTAGACCATGAGAAAAATAGACACTTTGGAGTTTACTCTGAGTGAGAAAGTCATTGGAGAGTTTTGAGCGGAAGGGTGTGATATAACATCACTTGCATTTTAAAAGGATCACCCTAGCTACTATTTGGAAAACAAACAGGGGAGTTGAGGGATGCCTCTGGTAGGGCCACCAGTTAGGAGACCATTACATGAATTCAGGCATTGAGATACATAGAGGCTTTGACCTGGTTGGTAGTAGTGGAGGTGGTGAGAAATGGACAGATTTTGAATATATTTTTAAGGTCAAAGCCATAAGATATGCTGACAAATCAGATGTGCACTTTGAAAGGAGTCAAGGGTCACTCTTAAGTTTTTGGACCAAGTAACTGGAAGGATAGAATTGCCTTTTACTGAGACATGAAAACTGAGAGAATAGGTTTGGGAGTAAGATTAGGACGTTATGTTTGTATATGTTAAATCAGAGATGCCTATTACACATCTAAATTGTATTATGCTGGTTATGGTGATCTAAAGTTCACAGGATGGATATGTTTGAAATTCATCAACATAATGATGACATTTAAAATCATAAGATTAGATGAAATTGCCAAGAGTACATATTGATAGAGAAGAAAAGAGGCTGAAGAACTAAACCTTGGGACACTCCAACAATTAGAAGTCAGAGAGATAAGGAGAACCCAAATAGAAACTGAAAAAGACTAGCCAGTGAGATAGGAAGAAAACCAGGAGAGTGTGATATCCTGGAAGCTAAGTGAAGAAAGTATTGCAAGGCACAAGGAGTGATTAATTGTGTCAAATGGAGTAAAATGAAAAGTGTTACTTGACCATTTGGAGTTAGCAATGTGGAGGTCATGTGACCTTGACAAGGAATAGTTCAGTGGGGTGACTGGGATAAAAGCTTGATAGAAATGAGTTCAAAAGAGAATGTGAAGAAAATAATTGAAGCTGAGAATAGCTAGTATCTTTGGAGGGCATTTGCTGTGAAAAGGAAGAGAAAAGTGGCATAGCAGCTAGAAGAGGACATGAGGTCAAGAGAAGGGTTTGTTTTATTTTTAAGGTGGGAAAAATTATGGCATGTTTGTATGCTGGTGAGAATTATCCATCAGAGAAGGAAAATTTGATGATGTAAGAGAGAAGGGAGAACTGGTGGAACTGCATCTTTAAGTAAGAAAGTAGGGATGGGATCTCATGCGCAAGAGGAGGATTTAGCCTTAGGAATACAGACAGCCTAAAATAATAGCAGGAGGGAAAGCAGGTTATATGGGCATGGATGAAAGAGGGTGGATAGATATGGGAAGAGCAATTTGTAGAAGTTCTTTTCTAATTATGTCCTAGGAAGCAAGGTTATTAGCTGTGATTAAGGATTGGGGATGAGAGACTGGAAGTTTAAAAAGAAGAGAAAGTATGAAATAGTTATCTGGGAGAGGAAAAGGGCAAATGGACTGTGGAAGTGATTGAAGGATAGGTGCAAAGGTACACTTAAAAAGAATTCATTCAGCCCGAATGTATATTTTTGTGAGCTCCACATTCAGCCAGCGAGGTTATAGATATGGAACAGGGGGAAAGGTGGATATAACCAGGGTTGGAATTTTGTCAGATGAATATAATTGTGAGTGAGTGCCAAGGGAGTGACTGTAATGATGGATCATGGAATTTATGCTTAGTTACGAAGGAAATGAGGCTTTGAAAGTAGAAGGGGGAGCTGTGAAAGATGTTAGGATCAATTAACTGTAGGGTCCTCTGGAGTCTCAGATTATTAGAGTTGGAATAGTAAAGAGAGTAAGCTTGAAAGATAGTGAGTGGTGATCAGAGAGAGTGACGTGCAGACATAGAATGTCCAATGCTTTCAACTGGAATGAGGTGAGGATGCTTACCAGTTTGTTTAGTGGCTGTAATAATTATTTTAATTGATTGATTTGTTAGGTTCATGACTACAAAGAAGGAACCCCAGAAGAGAAGACCTACTATATAGAATTATGGGATGTTGGAGGCTCAGTGGGCAGTGCCAGCAGTGTGAAAAGCACAAGAGCAGTATTCTACAACTCTGTAAATGGTAAAGCATTTTTTAATTTCTCCCAGATCCTAATGGTTTAGGAGTATAGATCATCTGTATAAGAAATGCTATGGCATGCCAGATTCGTCTTAATTTGAGAAAACTCTAATATACTCAGAATTCTCTCAAACTGCAATCACATTTTAGTTTTGTTTATAGATTCTAACCATGTAATTCAGAACATTAAACATCTGCTTTGTCTGAGTGTTTCTATTTATATTATTGTCATAAGCTAAATATTGATAAATTTGTATTTTGGGTACTTGACATAAATCATGGGACTTTCAAAACATTGTCCTCTGAGAGTACTGTCTCTCCAGTCTGTTGAGTAAGTACAGTAGGACCACAGAAGTCCCATAGTCTTAAGCAAGATGTCACAGAGATTTATTTCATCTGTCCTATGTAGTTATAAAGAGCTGCCTTAGAGTATTTTTAGGGGTGTGGAAATTTTATGCAGTTATAGGTATTCAAATACCTGAAGCCGACTTCCAGATGGAGGTGTATAACAGGGACAATTCCCTTCATAGAGTGCCTACTCTGAGTCAAGGAACTAAAAACTTATGCCTGTGACTTGCCAGTAGAGTTTCTTTTTTTGTCTTCTCTTTTTTAAAATTCATTTTTTAAAACTCTTTTTTACTGTGAAATATAATTTCAACTTCTCTTTGATGAGTATATAAAAAGATTTGGCATCTCACCTCTTCTGATTAATGTGTTGCCATTACTGGGGTCTCATTTATGCTATGCTTAGATCTCATTCAGTATTAGGTAAGCATTGCATTTATTCAGTACATTCATTCTTCATATTCCTCTTTCAGTATCTTCCCACATCATAAGGTATTGTAGATACTACAAAAACAAGTTGTGAATGTTCTTTCTATTGGCTACATATTATAGAATACAGGATGAGTTGTGTTGGTTCAGACCCATTCCCATATAGAGAATTTTACCTGAAAGTGTCACAGTCTAATTGAAGAAGCAAAATATTCATAAATGAAAAAAAAACCAGTTATAAGATAATGACATTAATATAAGCCATTATCAAGCAAGCAAGTATATATAATGATGGCATATATTAACAGAACGTATATAAATGAGAAAAAGAGTAAGATAAGACTGATATAGTGTGAAGTGACTTCTTAGAGAAAAGGAGAGAAAGAAATGAAACCTGGTTTAGACTTAGATTCAAGTGATAAACTTATATTAGTCAAATGACTTGTCAAAGCAGATATCAATCTGATCTGGCCTAGGAAGTTTGGATATATAAATAACACCTTTGCTGTCTAGATAATTTTGAAACAGAGGTAAGACAGAGATATAGATAATTTATCTATAAATAATATAGATAAATACCATCAAATCCTAGAAACTATGAAATTCTGAGTTGCAAACTTATAAGTGCTAAAGAAGAAATCTATCCAAATCCATATTTATTTGATTATCTCCCTGTACCTACTATTCATTAGGTTTTACAGATAAGACTGAGATACATTTCTATTTCTTTAAAAATAAAAAAAAAAAACGGTTTATTGAAAAACCTATTTCTGTGTTCTTTCACCTCAGCTCTGGAACATTTCTCCTGGTAGAAGCACTCAAGGTTCTTTACTCTGTCTACCATTCTTAGTTTCCTAAGAAACAGAGCATAAGGATCACTCTATTCAAATGCGCAATCTTCATTCTTAGCAATAACTTTCTTCCCTCAATACTTAGCTTCTTCCCTCTCTTATGTACTAAGCTGGTAATCTCAGAAGGAAATTGCAAATGTCATTACTTCTTTCCCTTAAGATTAAAACATTCTCATCAGCTGTCACCCTGACTTCTTTCATCTGGGCCCCACCTTTGCTCTTCTAGCTCATATTCCACAAAGCAAGAACTCTCAGCCCAAATGAAAGAGACAGAATGAAGAAAAAGGGTGCTCAAATGCCCTTATAAGCTCAAAAGCCTTACTTACAGAGCCTCAAAAAATAAACTCGCCCTATCCATCTAATAGCTAAGGCCTTTAGAACCCTTTCATTCCCTCATCCACAAGTCTCACCCATTTTTTTGTGATATTTATACCTGAAAAATAAAGAAGGGAGATATAGCTGCCATTCCTTTGCCCTAAAATAAAATTTTATTCTGCTTTCCTCAGTCATTTACTCTCAGATTACCTGAGTTCAAATTCTGGTTTACCATGTGACCTGGGACAAATTACTTGATCTCTCAAAGGCTCAATTTTCTCATGTGTATAAAGATAATAATTCTTACCTTATAGGACTGTTCTGAAAATTAAATTAGATAACAGGTGTAAAACATGATATCTAGCTTATAAGTACTAAATTAATATTAGTTATACTCTTTAATAGTAGCTCTTTATTCCTTTTTTTAATTAATTAATTTATTTATTTATTTTGAGTTAGTCTCACTCTGTTGCCCAGGCTAGAGTGCCATGGCATCAGCCTAGCTCACAGCAACCTTAACCACTTCAGTACCACACTCACTGGCCGTGAAACCTTGCCCACAGCTGGCACTTGTAGTCTGCACGATAGTTTGTGCTGTGCATTGAAGTCGAATCCGTTTTGCTCTTATGTGATGAGGAAAGCTTGAAAACTTGAAAGCACTGAAAGCTTGTTTTACTTTACAGGCAGCTTTACTTGTAATGTAAATCAGAATAGGTAACATATACATATATGTTTTCATTATGTTATTTTTAAATGTGCACAATTTTATTTTGATAAATGAAAAATTAGAAAAGTCAAGTTTTGTTATTAACACTAAAGTTGACAATCGGCTGTGCGCCTTCATATCACGGCTGTCGGCTAAAGCCGAACTCGGCTATGTGCGTTCATCTGTGGCTACCGACTATAGTCAACGCTGGTACCAAAGTGGTTTAAACTCCTGGGCTTAAGTAATCCTCCTGCCTCAGCTTCCAGCTGGGACTATAGGTGGGCACCACCACACCCGGCTAATTTTTTCTATTTTTAGTAGAGACAGGGTCTCGCTCTTGCCCAGGCTGGTCTCAAACTCCTGACCTCAAGCAATTCTGCCTTGGCCTCCCAGAGTGCTAGGATTACAGGCGTGAGCCACCATGCCTGGCCATTCATTCGCTTTTTTAAAATCTATGCCATTGATGGTTCTTAGACCCCTCATTGTGGAAGGAGGAGTGAGTGCAACTAGATACTAGGACAAGTGTCAGATCTCTATTTTTTTTTTCAGACACCAGGAGAGACAGAAGTTTATCTGAGCTTTATGTAACAAGTCACCTATAGCTTGCACAGCACCTTGGTTACACAGATGGCTATAAAAACTATAGAAACCAGTTAATTCTGCTGCCCTTCTTTTTCAAATTGACATATACCACATCTTGAAGATAGAGGAATCATCAGTTTTTCATGTCCTATTTTTATAATATGGGTAATATAGGAAAAGATTGGGAATTTGAAACCTATAGTCTTTTGATCATAAGATGATATCCTGAATTCTATGGGCATTAAAGCTTTTCTGCTTTTGTATGTATCTTACTGTAATATAATTACCTGTTTTGCCTTTCTATCTAGAATCTTATCCTTTAATTATATTTGTGGACCTCATTATATTTTGTTATTTTTCTCACTCTCTCAAAGTCCATGCATGTGTTTTCTACTAATTCATACTTCTTGACTAACTCCTCCTACTCTCTCCCAGTAGCATATTTCTGTGCTCTAATTAACTAAATCTCTTATAGGTAGCAAGCTTGCATAGCTAATCATTAATTCAAAGAACTAGGAAATTAGACTTTTGAGTTGATTAGGCCCAGGTGATCTACAGGATAATGTTTTATCAGCTAAAGAATAGCAATTATATCAAATTTGTACCTTTTTTTTTTCTTTTTCTTTTTCTTTTTCTTTTGAGACAACAGAGTCTCACTCTATTGCCCAGGCTAGAGTGCTATGCCATCAGCCTAGCTCATAGCAACCTCAAACTCCTGGGCTCAAGCAATCCTACTACCTCAGCCCCCCGAGTTTCTAAGACTACAGGCATGTGCCACCGTGCCTGGCTAATTTTTATATATATACTGTTAGTTGTCCAGCTAATTTCTTTCTATTTTTTTAGTAGAGACAAGGTCTCACTCTTGCTCAGGCTGGTCTCAAACTCCTAAGCTCAAACTATCCGCCCATCTTGGCCTCCCAGAGTGCTAGGATTACAGGTGTCAGCCACCACGCCCAGCCAAATCAGTACCATTTTAATAAATTTTTATTATTTTTAGTGAGTATAAGTAATATCTCTATGTACTGGTGTCTGTGGCAGTACTATATACAGTGAAGAAACAACATAAGTTTTGAATGAATGTAATTTTTTATGTGCTTGATTATCTTGATTGATAAGGTGGTTCTGCAAATAGGATCAGGTATAGAGTAGACACCCAGGATGTGTTAAATGAAGAAAAAATATTCTAACAGTTTAATGACAGTTTATCAGCCTTTGTAAAAATTTTTAAAAAGTTACATAACTGACAAGGAAAGTTTCATAGTTAATTATCTGTAAGTATTTTTAGAGGAAATTTTCAAATAATTGTGTCTGAATTTGCTAGTCATACTAGAAGGCTAGATTCATTGAGCAACTGAATAATTATACTTACTAAACTTCACTTTACAATTGTGAAATGAAGAATTTCTTTAGTATTAACATCTTTTCTCTGATTATTTTAGGTATTATTTTAGTCCATGACTTAACAAATAAGAAGTCATCTCAAAACTTGTATCGTTGGTCATTGGAAGCTCTTAACAGGGATTTGGTGCCAACTGGAGTCTTGGTGACAAATGGGTAAGTCCAGAATTATTTCACAATTGTTTTGAAATGTTATAGCAATCACAGGTATTTAGTCTCCAAAATAACACTTCGTAAGTGTTTGATTTGCAAATACTTTCTCCCATTCTATGGATTATCTTTTCATTCTCTAAATAGTGTCTTTCACGAAGCAATAGTTTTCATTTTGATGAAGTCTAATCTCCCACTTTTTCTTTTATGGGTTATGCTTCTGATATCATGTCTAACTCTTTACCTAATCCCACACATCCCCAGTGACCAGCTTTCCATTCCTTGGGCATAGTGTGTTATTTATTTTATATGTCGCTGGATTTTTATTTGCTAATATTTTCTTGAGGATTTTTGTCTGTGTTCATGAGGGGCATTCATATGTAGTTTTCTCTTCTTCTACTGTCTTTAAATTAATGTGAGAATAATGTGGGCCTCATAAGAATGAGCTGGAAGTGTCCCTTCTATTTTCTGGAAGCAATTGTATACCCCTCGTGCTATTTCTTCTTTGGATATTTGGTAGAATTTACCATTTAGACCAGCTGAGCCTGGAGCTTTCTTATTTGAAAGGTTTTTAATGACAAATTCAATTTCTTTAATAATGATAGGACTATTCAAGTTATCTCTTTCACCCTAGGTGAGTATTGGTAATTTGTGGGTTTTGTGGAAGTCATCTATTTCATTTAAGTTGTTGAATTTATGTAAATAGAGTTGTTTATAGTGTTCATTTATTGTCCTTTTGATATTTACCCAGTCTGTAGTGATACCCCTTTTTCATCCCTAACTTCAGTAATTTATGTCTTCTCTTTGTTTTTTTGTTTTTTGGGTTTTTTTGTCAGAATCGCTAGAGGTTTATCAATTTTATTAATCTTTTTCACAGAAACAGCTTATGGTTTCACTGATTTTTATCTATTGTTTTTCTATATACAATTTAATTGATTTCTGGCTCTTATTTTGCCATTTCTATTTCCTTCCTTCTGCTTGCTTTGGGTTTATCTTGCTTTCTCATTATATTATAGTTTGTTAAGTTACTTAGATTACTGACCAAAGATCTTTCTTCTTTTGTTCATATAAGCATTTATTGCTATAAATTTCCCTCTGAACACTATTTTAACTGCATCCAACAAATTTTTTAATGTTTTTTAATTTTCATTTAGTTCAAAATATTTTCTAATATTCCTTGAGGTTTTCCCATGGATTATTTAGAAATGTGTTTTTTGGTTTCCAGACATTCAGAGATTTTCTAATTATCCTTTGTTATTAATTTCTATTTTAATTTTAGTTTGGTCTGAGAACATACTTTTTTATGATTTTATATTTGTGCACTACTCAGTGATCAGTATGTGACCTATGTGTTGGTCTCCCTGTTGTTTCAGTTTTCATTATCTTTGGTATTGATTAGGATCAGATCCATACATGCACAGCTTTGAGAATGAGCCTAGAGATTCATTAATAAAAATATTTGTCGGGTTGCTTTCTCAAACTTCATCATCTCTACAATCTCCCCCATACTTTGAAGTTTGCTGGGGCTCATTTTTTTTGTGCCCTGGCCAAAAAACTGGGGGTTTTGTTACCTATTCTGTCATATACTTGTGCCACTGCACCCATGTCCAGGGCCAAGTGGCAGGAGGACAAAGAAAAGAATAAATACAATGGGAGTTGGCCCTACCCTCTTGGGATTACAATTCCACCAATCAGAGAGAAAGGTTTCCCTTCGTCTATGCTCCTGAACATTCCCCTTGTGTTATAGCTTTTGCCACAACCATTATGAAATTGCTCAGGGGCTGGCTTATGACAGAAGGAAAAAAATACTAGACTTCTACACTTCCTGCAAGCATTATAAATCCCCTTTCCTGTTCCACAGGACTTCTTCTGGAGTTCTCTGTCCACACAATGACCACTTTCAGGTTCTAAGCGAAGTTGCATTCAAACAAGGGGATATGGGAGGAAAAAAGTCATAAACTCACTGCTGGTTCAATGGTACTTCAAATTTTAGCCTTTTCCCTCAATGTGCCCACTACTATTTACTTTTCAGAGTTCTCAAATAGCTGCTTTATGCATGCTGTCTGTCCATCTTTTATAGTTGCTGTCAGTGGGAAAGATAAGATAGAGTTTACTTACCTTGACCTGAGAACTCCACTTCCCATTATCTAAATAAGTTCCCAATATCTAAATAAGGTTCACTCATTATAATTGGTTTCTTAAGTTTCTTTTAATCTTAGTTTCCTCCTTCTTGTTGTTTTTTTTTTTTCTTTTTTTTTTTTTAACTCTCTAGCAGTTTATTTGCAAAAGAAGATGGCTTGTTTGTTCTGTACAGTTTCCTGTATTCTGGAGTTTGATGGTTGTATTCCTGTAGGGTCTTTTAAACTTGTTTGCCTGAATCCTAAATCTTCTCTAAAGTGGTAGTTAAATATAGTGGTCTGAAAGATGCAGATTTTTTGTTTTTGTTTTTCCAAGTAGTATTGTACATATAATATGATACCTGGTTGTCCGTCTCTTTGTGATGTTAAGGAATTATCAGCCTTATCCATCCATGATAAAATAGTTTTACAAACAGAAAAAGATTTCAAGATCAAATTTCAAATTGGATACAAGATTTTATGAAAGAAAGTGAGAAAAACAGTAAGCTAAAAAGAGAAATAAGAGAATAAACTATATATGTATGTTTTATATATGTCAATGTGCAAGAGATTGTGCAAGACTATAAGTGACATATGTATGTGTATAAAAGATGATATTTGATAGGATATATACAAAAATTTGTAAATGAGACAGAATTAGTGAATGTAAGAAAAGGAAACACTTGTAAAGGAGGGCCATCAGAATTTTATTCTCCATAATAAAGCAAATTTCAGTTTTTCACAATGTCTCCTAAATCAGGATTGATGTTAGTGAAAACAATCAAAGGCCTTGAATGGAAGCTATTGCTTTGATGCAGTAAATAGAATGGTAATATTTTTATGAGAATAGGGGGGTCTGTAGCTGAAAACAGATGTGTTCCAAGACTGAACAGTACCTAGGACTCTGTAAGATTATTGTGAAGTGCATAAAAATTTAGTAACTTTGCTCCCTACCCCAATTTAGATAACTCTAAGAGAAAGAAAAGTAATGTCAAAGGGAGAAAATAGCTGCACTCAACTGAGTTGTAGTGATTGGATTATGCAATATTGATTTACTACCATAAATTGTTCACAACCAGATTTTGCTGACTGTTGTAAATTGAGCTTATAACGTGTCAGAAATTCAAATCTGTTTTATTTCTGTGAATTAAATTTAATTCAACAACAATAGGTTCTTGTTCCTTTGAGTAATAAGAAGTATCATTTATATCACCACTCAATCCTTTGGGTAAATATAAGAAAAAAAGAATTGTAATAGTCAGTGACTCAAGGCCACTAATCCTAAGTGATTCTTATTGCCTGTCCTCTGTCTCCCATGTCAGGACAAACTGTTTGGTACCAAATTCTTTCCTTTTATTACTTATTTTGCATTTCAGCTATTTCCTTCCCTATCTATTTGTTTAATCTATATTTCCCAGGCTATAGGATCATCTATATTTGATTTATTCTAGGCTTCATCTTCCCTATTTCTTATTTTCCTAATTTCTTTACCTTTCAGATAGAAATATGTATCATAGATTTAGAGTTTATACATACCCCAAAAGGCCCAGAAGCTTTTCATTTTCCCTTCTGGCACAAGGCTTGAGTGGCATGGTAGGCTGCTGGGTTTTCTCTACACTGAGGTTTAAATCTGCTCTGTGCTTCTACACTGACAAATTCCTGAGCTGTTAGCCTTAGAAGACAGAGCCATGGGGGAAGTCAAGTTAACTGATTGTGCTATACTTGGTGGGCACTCAGTCGTTCAAGTAGTCAATAAAAATACATGGGACCAAATTTTGAGTGGTTGGATGAATAATTGGAACTCAATAGATGGTGAGGGTGGATTGATAAATGAATAAGTAGATGGAAGAAATTGGGAGAAAAGTAGATTTATAGGGGATAGGCGAGCAGGAATCAGTTACTTTTCAGTAAAATAATGTAAGCTAGATGCATTTAAATATTACACATCTACATCAAAGTTAAATTCTATTCACCTGTTCATTATTATTTATCACAGGGATTATGATCGAGAACAGTTTGCTGATAACCAAATCCCACTATTGGTAATAGGGACTAAACTGGACCAGATTCATGAAACCAAGCGCCATGAAGTTTTAACTAGGACTGCTTTCCTGGCTGAGGATTTCAATGCAGAAGAGATTAATTTGGTGTGTATTTTCCCTAATGCATGTTTATATTATTATCAGGTTAAGACAAAACCAAAGATTTATGTTGGAGTCATATATTCTAGAAAAAGCAGCTTTGGACTTGAAGTCAGGCTATTTGGGTTCTCATCCAAAATGTAGTCAAGATTGGAATCAACATGTCTAGACTGTCAGATATACACAGTGCACAGTCACTTCAGCCTTATATGCCAATCTATTATAATATTCAGACTTTATTCTACGAATAATGGAAATCATGGGCTTTTTCTTGAGAATATTTTTAAATATCACACCAAAATTAAAATAATTAAATTGATTAAGGTGACACTACACCTTGATTATTATTACTTTAGAAGTACCTCTTAGCTTCTTAAACTATAAAATTTTCCTTACAAGGCAACCTAAAGATATATGAGAAAATTACAAACTATAAATTAGGAGTGCTTCAATAAGGACTAATTTTTATAAACTTATGAATATACAGATTATTGAGAACCTTCATTAGATAGCTAGCTCAACTAGAACTGAATTCTAGAAAGGCTAAGAAACAGTTAATATATAAGCCAGTTAGCAATACCCAGAGAATGATCCTGGCCAGCAGCTTCAGTCATGGTTATATGTTGTTGTTCACAAACAGGATTTTGGCAACATATTTGGTGCACTGGTATTCCAGATATACAGTGGTGGTAGTGTAATAATACTAACGGCCAACATTTATTGAGCATTTATATGCTGAACACTGTTCTATTACTTTACTTACATTATCTCACATGCATCTTCACAATCAACCCTATAAGGTAGGTGATACTGTTGTCCTCATTTTAAAGACAAAGACAAGAAACAGAGAGAGGTAGCTAGGCCAAGGTCCCATGGGTCAAATAGGGCACTTAGACTCAGAGCCTGTGCTCTGCAGTTAAGCCTATTTTCCACTTAATTGTCCTTTAGCTAACATTTAGAATTTTGGAGTTGAAGGAACCCTTAGAATCACCAAGACCAACAGTTGACCAAACCTGATTGTGTATTACCAACAGTACCTATAAAAAATTTTGAATACTTGCCCCCCACTGGAGATTTTTATTTATAAGGTCTGGCAAGAGGACCTATAGTTTTCACAAATAACTCAGATGATTCTGATGCCCTTACTCTGTGAGTCAACATTTGTGAACACTGCTTGGATCAGTCCCACCTCTACTTCCATAACTGTCAGCTTGTGCTTGCCATTCCATAGTTTTTTACATTCTGCTTTGCAATGGAGGGTGCCTTATTTTTCTCAGCTCCCACAATGGAATATTTAATATAAATACACCAGGTAGTGAACACTGAACCATGATTTTCTAGAGATTCCTGCTATATAGATATATGATATCCTTGTGGAAGAAGTGCTAAGGTTACTTTATTTGAACATTATTTCCAAAGGGAAATTTACCATTGAATACACTTAATTTGTTCCAGTGCTTACTTTTAATTTGTAAATGTATCTGTTTCTAGTGTCTGTGGGTTTCTGTGACAATTACCTATATATTTAATATATGTTATTCCTACTTGCCTTATAAAGATAAGGCCATCTTTTAATTGTTAGACAGTTATAAAGATACACAAATAGTGGAACTTAAGCACACATGATCTCCAGGGAGTTCAAATACAACATGCTTTTGGCCTTTATCAATGTATAGCATCAAGAACACAGCAGAAACAACAATAGGAGAGGGTCATGAGGATGCAGAGACAAAAAAATGAGGAGGAAAATAGGATACAAGAGAGTTTCAAAAACAGCAGTCAAAAACATTCCTCAAGTAAATATAAAGCCTAAAATGAAAAACTATTAATAATACAACAGTATTAGTGTTAGTATCATCAGTTACTATATGAATTTACTTAAAACTGTAGAAAAGTAAGAACGTAACATATATACTTCAAAGGTAGAAAGTTATCTTCTGCCTGAATAAAATGCCAATCATTTTAGTTATAAATAGGTGGCAGATTAATTTTTTAAAATATCGTTAGGCTTATTGTGTCTAGTACAAATTTTTCTCTGTGTCTGTTTACTTCACTGCGATCATATTGAAGCATATTCCCTAGTTAATAGTCCTTTCTCAAGCTCAGACAAGCTATTTATAGCTATTAATTTTCAGGCTTTACCCTTAGCCACAATCAATGGCAGATGGCTCTATCAGCTCTGAAAGTCTCATCCTAAAAATCATAAGCTTTCATAAGCTTCATGTCAACCTAAAATTGTAGAGCCCTAGAATTAAGTTTTTTGGGGTGTTTTGTTTGCTTGCTTTTTGATTTGGTACTTTAGCTCTATTTAGAATTATCTCTGAAATCTTTTGACATTTTGATAACTAATCAATATTCATTTTATAAAACATTTCTACCACAGGTCAAAAGTTTGTCTCTTCTTATATGCCCCAACTGGTATAGAAATGTGTTCAAACATCATTTCAAATACAGTAGTTTTTACAATGATGTTTCAGTCTATATAATCCATATATGGAATTATCTTTATTATGGTAAGTGCTTTTTGTGCCTGAAAATTCAATCTGATAACATTTTCTTAAATTGAAGGGAGAAGGAAATTGATATTTCAATACCTGCTATGTCCACACATGGATTATCTCATTTAATATTCAAAAAAAATCCTATGGGTTAAAGTATTGTTATTCCCATTCCACAAATGAGTATGCCCAACTTCAGAGGTTTAGTAACCTAAGCAATGTTACAATACAATCTTAGAAATGTTAGGACAGATATTCAGATTCAGAGGTTGCTGGCTCGATGATCCCTGAGTTTTGAAAAATTTGCTATAGTCTCTTTTTTGTAGTTTTAGAGAATGTATTATAGTTTCCAGCCAAAATTTAAAATGTGAGCCTTGAAATGTTGCATATGAATAAAATAAGTAATTGTTCGTAAATTCATTAGAAAGGATTCATGTGGGCCTAGAGTTGTCAAAATATAATTAAATGCAACAATAATTTCAGTAATTTCTCAAGGACCACAGAGGGTCTGTAGCTGAAAGACAGATATCATCCTTGCAAAGGAGCCTACATGCTATCCTCATAATTTAGTCTTAGGTAGCATTTGAGGTAAAAAATCAAAGTACTCTGTTTCTTGAGGTGGCAAGAAAAAAACAATGCAACACTGGAATTCCAGAGAAGGGTAGTAAGCCTTTTAAGGTCTTTGCAAAGTTATTGTAATGATTTAATGTTTCACATTGTTTTGTTTCTTCTGAACCCATTTTTTCCCTATTTTAAAAAATCCTGTCAAACAGTAGTAATATATCTATTGTTTATTATCAAAAACAATATATCTTTGTGACCTACTAGGAGATGAAGTACCTTGTGTCCAATGAGTGAGAAATCCCTGGCAACTGTTCTGTTTGTTCTTTGCCTCCATAAACCCTTATTTTCATGCTTCCTGCTAGTCATATGAATTATACAGTACTTAATTAGTTGAGCAGTGATAAGTAACTAGTACTAAAAAGTGAAGTGTTTACTGTTTTTAATGGCTCTAGTCTGGTTTTCAGAGTAAATGTAGGTAGTCACTTGATTAATACCTTGGTTTTGTTGTTGGTAAAATATTAGTAATCTTGTTTTCCTCTATGAATTATTTGATTATAACTACATTGATTCAGTCAGTATACCCTAAAATTACTTAAATGACAAAGAGTAAGTGGCCTTATCTTCTTCCTTTAGTGCTCTCTGCCTTGCTTCACGCATCATAATTTGAAAATTAGCAAATATTTTATGAGAGTATTATGCCTAAAGTAATGTGAAACAGGAAAGGTTATGACTAACAAAGAGCTTAGGTTTTCTAACTTTCAATTGTGGATCTTATGTTTTTATCTTCTAGGATTGCACAAATCCACGGTACTTAGCTGCAGGTTCTTCCAATGCTGTCAAGCTCAGTAGGTTTTTTGATAAGGTAATGGCTTCAATTACATTATTTTTAAACTTAATTTATATATTATGAGAGTTTAAACTTTTGTAGGATCCTGTGTCCCTTTATTCCTTTGTACGAAACCTCACAGCCTGCATAGTTCTTGTTTTGATCTCTCTTATCTGTTGGTATAATTGCTCAAGGCCTGCTGACGTAGTTATTCCATCATCAGTGTTCTCTGAGTAAAGGGTGAAAGCTACTGAATTTAAATGTGGATTTTCAAAAGATACCTCTCCTTAAAACAAATTATGTTGACCCATTTTCTAGCTTTTTTGTACTCATTCACCCGCTTACACCACACAAACACGGCACTGAACTGAGAAGATTCTACTTAAAGCCCTGAGTTCTTTTTGCTCTCCCAGCTATTAATATTCCCTGCATTAATGTTACTGTTACTTTTTAAGGTTATATCATCTTCTTGATTTCCTAATGTTTCCCTGTCAGGAATTTTTGCATTTCAATTATTGACTCTTTGCTAGTAAAATCTTATTATCCTAAACTGGAATGAAAATGTAGACTGACTCAGCAAGCTGGCAAATTAGAGCTCTGTCTTCCCTTCACAAGGCCATACAGCTGCATTGACCAAGTTTAAGTTGTTCACCCAATGTTGACATTGCATAGTAAAGTAGAATAGGATGTCTTTCTGTATATATTACTGAAAAAGGTTAATTCCTATATTATATTCCTTTTGAAATGAAATCTCTTAAGAAAAACATTTCCTCATAGCTCTTCTTTATGAACCATTTTTCTTTTAACTATTTAGGGATCTAATACTTGGCTCTTTTGTTCAACATATCAACATAAGATAAACCCTACTCCCCTCTATGTTTAATATTAGACCACTAGGAAAATTTTGTTTCACTGCAGAACTTCTTAACTAGTTCATGGCAAATAGGGCACAGGTGTACTGAGATATTGATTCACGCAGTTCTTAGAGCAGCCAGAGCCCTCAGGGTTGGGGACTGGGTGATTGACAGCCTCTTCCATTTTCCCCAGTCTGCTGTACAAATATTAGCTCTTTCTGTGTGTGCCATGACATGAAAACTGTTGGGAAGCACTGCAAGGAACCAAATTTTCTCTCCACATTGTTTTCAAACTTAAAATATAAGAACTTCCATTTGGTTTGGATCCATGGCTCCCATCTGATACAAAATTCTGTCCCCTAAGAACAATAGCTTATAGATGTGGTCTGACATGGAAAGATCCCACAGTATATTGTTTCAAACTTTTTAATAATTTATTAATTTTGAAATTTAAAAAATAAGATGTACTAACTTATATCCTAGAGAAACAATGGATTATAGACTAGTGTAACCTAAGTTGTCAGGCAAGCCTTTATTTAAAAAAAAATCAGGAGCCACTGTTTGGTTTTAGGAAGGGGGCAAGATTTGGTAAGAGAAGGGCATTGCAAGTTGGGGGTAAAGAATTATGACCAAAAGCAAAAGGTAACTTCACTCTTCATTGCCTAAATCACAACAAGAGGTATGTGTATTAGTGGATTGGCCACACCTCTGGTCTAAGCGAGTTGCCTGAAACTAAGAGACCTGACAGCTAAATTTCACCCAGTTTTCTATATATCAAATTTTTCAGAATTTAGTGTAAAGATTTCCTCTCCAAGAGATCTGACTCCTTCTCCAGACTCCCTTGGCTGATAAGATTTTCCTGTCCTGCCATAGAGAGAGGAAAGGAAATCAGTCCCCTTCTTGGTTTCTTTGGGGTCAACTGTTTTGAGATGTACACTAATAATGAACCAATTTTTCTACTTCTGGGACCATTGAATGCAACTTTGCCCTGGATCTCTGGTGGCTAACAGTAAGCCAGCCATAGTTTCCAAGATAAAAATAATCTAGATGAAGGGCTTTCAGGCCAGGGAGAGCAACCTGACACATGCTTGGGAAGAACATGTTCTGCTCTTATTCCAAGGAATTCATAGCTTTACAATTCCAGATCCAAATGTTTTAGAGCTCATCCCCAGCTAATCTGTATTCTTATCTGATTAATTGTTCTTATCACAACAGCTCTATGTAAAGAAAATACAGATGCTCCTCAATTTACGATGAGTTTATGTCCCAGTAAACCCATTGTAAATTGAAAATATTGTTAGTCAAAAATGCATTTAATACACCTAACCTGTCAAACACTGCTTAGCCTAGCCTACCTTAAACATGCTCAGAAGACTTACATTAGGCCACAATTGAGCAAAATCATTTAACACAAAGCCTACTTTACAATAAAGTTTTGACTATCTCATGTCAAAACTCATTTATTGAATACTGTCCTGAAAGTGAAAAACAAAATGGTTCTATGGGCACTCTGAGTATGGTTTCAACTGAATGCATATTGCTTTCACACCCATATCAAAAAATCACAGTCAAACCATCATGAGGCCGAGCGTGGTGACTCACGCCTGTAATCCTAGCCCTCTGGGAGGCTGAGGTGAGAAGATCACTCGAGGTCAGGAGTTTGCGACCAGCCTATGCAAGAGCGAGACCCCTTCTCTACTAAAAATAGAAAGAAATTATCTGGAAAACTAAAAATTATAGAGAAAAAAATTAGCTTGCCATGGTGGTGCAGTCCCAGCTACTTGGGAGGCTGAGGCAGGAGGATTGCTTAAGCCCAAGAGTTTGAGGTTGCTGTGAGCTAGGCTGATGCCATGGCACTCTAGCCCAGGCAACAGAGCGAGACTCTGTCTCAAAAAAAAAAAAAACCATTATGAGTCAGGGACCTTTTATAATACTGCTTCTGTAACCATTGCAGTTTCTCAAATGTTAGAACAAAATTTATTATTTTTAAAAATGTTTGTCATTATCTGAAAACATGGTGCTCTTTAACTCATTACATTTCAACATATATTTTGAGGATTTCTTTTCAATAGTGTTGATGGAATTGTGCAGATACATCTAATGCTTGAACTTGATTCTCCTACTGACCAAATACAGACAATTCTGAAACTACTGAATTGAGGGTGCAGATTAAGTCCATAAAAAAAAGCAGTCAATAAAACAGTCAGACTGCTTTTTGATGTGTCATCTGCTTACATTGAGGACACATATAGAATTTATCACTGTTTTCTATAGGGATATGATGGTTTGCCACATTAAGCAGACTTCTCTTTAAGAAATAGCTATGCTATTGTCGCAGGCAATTGCTTTGCTTTTAACTTATGGATTTTGTTTGGTCCCTTTTGGGGCTGACTGCTAATAAACTTAGAGTCAAATTTGCTGCCATACTCTAATCACATGGGATCTTGTATCATTCTCTCATTATTTAGTTGTTCATTTATTTTGTTTGATCTGTTATTAATACTTTTTGGAATGAGGTAGGCCTTTATGGAAATACTCTCACAATATGATTTTGTTAACACCAGATTTAAACTCACTGGACTAAACATCTACTGCTATTAAAAAGACCCTTAATTTGGATATATTCCTTTTAGTCCCATTAGTGGCCACTATAGTTAGCCACTTTTTCCAGGTATGTGTACTAAGCCTTTAAAATCTTTGTTTCTTGCAGGTCATAGAGAAGAGATATTTTTTAAGAGAAGGTAATCAGGTTGGTATTTCTCTTTTCTTGATAAAATGGATTCTTAAATTTGGACAGGTGATTTCCAAGTTTATTTTCACAAGTGGTTAAAAAGGTTGGGGAAAGACCTTTATAGGCACAAGCAACTGATTTTCTATCCTATTAAATACAAAAGGAGAAAATTAGAACAAAGGGAAAATAAAGGTCTAAGAAACAAGGAGAATCCAGGAATAAAATTATATTATAAAATAATAGAATAAAATCATTTGCTTGGGACTCCAAAGGTATATGTTCAGAGTCTGTCACAATACAAATAATTTATATAAAAGTATACTAGGTAAATATTATGAGATTCACCTTCATCCTTTCTGCTTTAACTGATATGTTACCAGTTTATTGGCAAATATTTTCCATTTTGATAGAATTTATTTTTTATTATTTAATCTTATGTGGGTTTTTTGAGAAAAACTTCACAAAGCTAGTTCTTTAAGTAACAACAGGCTGACATACAGAAATGGAAAAGATGAAAAAAAATTACTATTAGCATTTGAACTTTTCATGATTGAAACTTAATGTGATTATCTTTCTTGCCTGCAGATTCCAGGCTTTCCTGATCGAAAAAGATTTGGGGGAGGAACATTAAAGAGCCTTCATTATGACTGAATTACACTCATCCTTCGGAAGAGTGAGCAAGCAGTGACAGTTTTTCACAGCTTTCTTATTGCTGTGTCGATTATTAGTGTCTTTTAACGAAATCATCTTAAAATGCTACCCTTCAGCTTCACCCTTTAATGGAAAATGAAGGAAGTGAAAACATGGGAGGCCCAAACTTTGTCCCCGTTCTCTCTGTTCCTCCCTGTCTGTCCCTATTTAAGGATTATGTAAAAGCCCTGTGGAAATATGAGATATTGTCAAAATGATGCAGTAAATGAGCACTGACGGAGTAGTGCAGAGAAAATTTACCCTTGCCTGGAACTGGAGGGATTTTTGGGTCTGTAATTTTCCCACACTCATTGCTGAAGGCTTAATTAAGTACTTCAAAAATGTATCTCTATTGTTTTACCTTCTTTTGAGGGGAAAGGTTATGTTAACCAGCTCTGAATTGTCCACCCCAAACAATCTCTGTCATTTTCAAAGACACAAAATGGTGTTATTTAATTGTCTCCACCTTTATCACACACAGAGATGCCTAATAATAGCAACCCTTGTCTCCCTCTTCTCTCCTTTGCAAATGGTTCAGTGGCTGGAAGAGGCAGACTAATAGCTGTAGTTAAATATAAATACAGATTAATAATACATGGAGAACAGCAGTATCAGAAAAGAAGAATTCTGTGAAAA